GTGGAAGAAGCAACATGAGGCGGTTCGGGCATCCACCTCCTGGGTGGGTGTTCCAGGAGGAGGCCCTGGGTTAGACCCAGTTAGGCTGTCCACTGTTAACTGAGAGGTTGAAGGATAATCAGGGCTTTTTACTGCTTTAAATTAAGCACAGGTTCAAAACTTTACAGACAAATAAATGCAGTGATCAGGAGCAGTTTGTTCCAGCTCAGCAGTCGCCAATCAAACAAAAACCTTCTCATCTGGAAAGGATGATGCACTCCTTAATTACATCTAAACTGGACGACTTCACTGCTGTGTTTGCAGCCTTGCTCTGTTACAGAATCCAGTTTAAAGCCTGTTTGTGTTTAAAGCCTGTTTGTGTTTAACGCCGGTCTCTCGCCTGCATGTGTGTCCACATATTCCCTCGAAATCATTAAGGTCTGAATCTCAGTCAGTCGTCATCATCTTTGCTGTTGCCCCGCCTCTCTGGAATGACCTAAACGACCTCAGACGAACAACCTCAGCGACTGTTTCCAAATCTAAGCGTTTGGAAGCGGCTGATTTCTGTGTACCGTCAGTTTTTTAGGAACCGGTTTATTCTGTTTTAGTGTAGCGCACTTTGGTTTTAAACGTGCCGTAGAAATCAAGTTTGCTTACTTGGCTCTCTTGACTGGGAATGCCCCCACGGATGAGCTGGGAAGAGGGAGGTCTGTGCATCTCTGATGAGGATGCTGCCCATGACCCTGCAGACAGGTCATTAGCTTTAAACTGGTGTTAGACTTCAGCTCTAGACTAATCCACAGGTCTGGTTGCTCATCATTCAGTCGCCATCTTTTCCTCGTACATGTGTGCTTGAGGTGTTCACCTCCTCCTCTGTTCACATCCTGCTGCTGTCTGCTGTGATCCTCGGGATGATTTTAAGCTGTCAAATCCACTCTGAGAACCAGCTGGACGACAACATTCGACAATAGACTCCATCAGACCCGGCCAACACATGAAGCATGTCGTAGCCTTATTTACGCGAGCTGTATCTGACAGCATGCTTCCTGCTTTCTTTAGAGTTTAGAGAGGCTTTTATTGAACCGGAGGGACAAACTGGTTTACGCCACAATTTTTGGTTCTCTGACGATACACCTGTTTTTCATCTGCAAAGTGGGAGGAGCTAATTCAGGCTCTCCTGTTTGCAGCATTAGAGACTCCGTTAGAAAATTATCGTTAGACTCTGGAGCTGATACAAGCAACAGAGCTTCACAGACTCCAGATTCAATAATCAGTTGATAATTTTTGGTTCTGTGGTATTTAAGATTCTGCTGGTTTCACAGTGAGTATTAATATTTATGCTTCATAGCAGTTTAACGCAGCTCATTGTTCTGTCTGAGATACAGAGAATATAAAACATTTAAATTTAATCATAAAATAAAAACAGCTAAAATATTAAATGATTAACTAGACTCAAAGTATTTGTCTCGCGGCTGTAGAACTGATCCTTAGTGTCACATTGTTATTGCTACTGTTTGTAGTCCAACAGTTGTCATCATCTGTCAACATCTGCCTTGTTGGTGTT